AGGCCCAGAGGAAGCACCGGGCCCCCGACTCCCCCTTGCCCTGGCCCCTGTTCTGCCCATCCTCACCAGCAGCCCAGGCTACCCACACTGGAGATGGGGCCAAGGCCAGGCCAGGCACCCCTGGGAAGCACTGGCTCAGCCATCTGGCAGCAGTCCAGCCCGGCAGGCTGTCACAATGGCCCCTGCCCAGGGCCTTGGGTCTCCAAGAAGCCCATGAGGAGTGCTCACTGTAGACCTGTCCAGCCTGCATCAGACACGAGCAGGAGGAGGGCTATGACCTGGGAAGCACCTGGCCTCAGCCACACTCCTGGCATCCATACCCACACGCAGCACCACAGTGAGACTGCTGCAGGTTACAAAGGTTCTAAGCCACTGTGGGGAACCCCCTGTACCTGAAGCTGCCTGAGAACTAGAAGGTGGCCCTGTCGGCTGGGAGTTGCTCCTCAAGATGTGTAAGTATGCATCTTGTTCCCAGTGACTCAAGCACTGTTCCTAAGGCCAAGTCTCCTAGTTGTGGCTGCTGCCATGGTGATGGGGGGCAGCATGGCTGTTCCCAGGGCGTTCCCTAAGGGAGCTCACCCTGGACCTTGACTGTAGCCTTCCCTCAGTCTTCCCTGGCTCCCTGCCTTCCTGGCTGTTCTGTTTCAACACAACAGCCTGACCCCTAAATCTCCTGCATCTCCAGCTGCATAAGGACAGGTGTGGCTATTGTCACCCGGCTGGTAACTGCCCCCTGCTGCCTCTGTGTCTCCAGCTGGTGACAATTCCAGGACTGTTCTAGAATGACCACGTTTGTTCTGGCGCCCTTGGAATGCTGTTAAACAAAGGACGCAAGTTGGCGGGGTCCCCCACTGCTCCGTGGGGACAGGATTTCATTCTGTGAGTGGCTGATGCCGTGTGCTTCCCTTTCCTTATACCTTGCCCTGCTAATGCCACATTGGAATGATTTCCTTAATTTCTAAAGCAGCATGTGCAGAAGTGGCTTATATTTCCTGTTCTGATAAAGGAATGGAGCTGTGCTGGGAGCTGGCTTCCTTCTTGGTTGGCCTCTCTTTTTTAGAACTAGAAGGATATTTCTAAAAAGCCCTGCTTGACTGGACTTGCAGCCAGGACAAAGACTTGTACAGATTATTTTGCCTTAGAATCTGGAAGGTAATTACTTTCAACAGTGAGGAATATTTACCTTTCATGTCGCTCAGGCTGGGTAGTTGGAGCTTCCTCTGCAGAGGAAGCTTGGGTTGGAGGCCAGGGGCAATCGGATGGTAAGTGGCTGTGAATTCCCTTCAGAGAATCGTTCTTTTTAGCTGGAGGTATATTGGCTAAAAAAGACTTCCTTGGACAAGGCTTTTCTGGAACATGTAGAGGACAAACTATTCTTTGTCTTAGGACAGATGCATTTTGTTCTTGAGTCTTCATATAAATATGATTAATACTCATTTTTCTGTGCCAGATGGAAACAGTGGCTGTGGACTTTTTCTTCCATTCCCTATAGTGCATCAACTTAAGAAAACAGCACTATAAAAAGCTGGGTCCATTTCCGTGGGGTTTTGCCTTTAACATACGTAGGCAACTCGCACAGGAAGTGAAATACACTCAGGGAGCCTGAATCTTCTAGGTGCTTCACTCCCAGGCAGTCAAGTTATTCTGTGCTATGAAATGTTTTTAAACTCCTTAAATCCAGTGCCAGTCTGGGCGGAGCAGCCCTGAGCAGCTCTCTGCGCCTCTGGACTGTACTCCCTATGGCAGGTGACAAGGAGAAGTCTGTCCCCGAGGCTGATGGCCGGGGTCCCCAGAGGAGTGATGTGATACCCTGCCATCAAGCTGCTCCTGCCAGGCCACCACCACCCCCCGTGGGACCGGATGTCCTCTAATCTTGCAGCTGTTTCTGTTGATCTCTGCGCCGGCGCTCAGGAATCCGTTTATAAATGGCAAGCCGTCGCTGCGGCAGCCGCAGAGCCAGGGGTGCAACGCACAGAGAGCTCCCCAGAGCCAGATGGGAAGCCGGGGCGGGAAGCTGCAGTCAGTGTCCCGAGGGGACTCGGGCTTTGGTTCCCCCGAGGTTCTCAATGCTGCAGCTAGATCGGGCTGCGTGAGGAGGAATGATCATGAAGACAGGCAGGCAGCCAGCGCTTCCTAATGCCATGATTCAGGAGGACTCCAAGGAAGAGTTCCCTGTGAAACGTCAGCCGAGAGCTCTGCTCCCAAGGCTTCCCACTGCACACCTGGGAACAGTGTCAACTGCGTCCCAATGGGGTGGAACTCAATCTGTGCCCAGGGAGTACCTCGGGCCTGCTCTGTGCCAGCTGGTTCCCAAGCCATCTGGGTCTCTTCCAAGTCCCCCAATTTCTAATCAGCACAGTACTGCTGGTCACCCATGCAGGGCAGGATAAAAGCCAGCAGGAAATGGGGAGCGATGGAAGTGTGTGTTTCAGAGAAGCAAAAGAGAACTACACATAGACTCTCGTTGGAAGTCCCGTCTCTGAGTCCAAGCTGCCCAGAGCCTGGCCCCACGGGGATCGGGGTACAAAGGGCCTAATGGTGGCCCTTTGCTGAGACAGAGATGCCCAAGGTCCACCTTACCAGGGGACCTGCTGAGCCCATACCGCTAGGACTGGGGTCATGCGTCCTGGGCCCAGCCGCCACCCCTGGAAGTCACTGCACACAGCAGATCTGGCCTGGTAGGACTTGGAAGCACAGGGCGGGTTCCAGGCTGAGGGACTCACCGCTCCGGAGACACAGCGGGAGGGGGGGGGGCAGCATCTTACTCGGGGCCTGACCTGCAGATGTGGGCTGGATCCTCGAGGTGCCTTAAGCAGTAAAGTTAAGGGACAGGGCTGTGCCACGGAGCCAGCTGGTCTGCTGTGAGCACTCAGGCTTATCTGTGGGCTGTAGCCGTGAGCAGGGACACAGCCACAAGCCTGCGTGCAGTCCCCACCCATCCATGTCCAGGAGGCCCGACGTATGGAGAAAGTTCTAGCTCAGGGACCAGGTAGGGATGTGCTGCAGTCGCAAGAGGCTGTCCAGACCTCGCGCCTGGCCCCGGCACACAAATATTTCTGCTCGTCCTGGAGACTGGATTCCTGAGTGTGGCACTGAGGGCTCTTGTGAGTGCTGGAATTCATAATCTCTCCTGAAAGGTGGCTGTGCGGCTGGACAAATGTCTGTGGCATACGCGTGCACACGTGGCCGGAGTCTGCAGAGCCCGACAGGGAGCCACCTCCAGTGCTGCTTGTCCTTCCACCACGAGACAGGGTCAGGCCACAGGCACCTAGCTGGAACAGCGGTGGCCAAGGTGTCCCGGGCAGCCTCCCTGCCCTGGCCCACAAAGCAGGAGAGTACCATTCAACTCCAGGGGGCAATGCGGGGCAAGCTCGCCTCTCACCAAGTGCAGGGAATCTTCTCAGTCGGAACAGGGACCCAGATTGATCTGAGACACTTAAAATCATTGCACTGATTGGCACACTGCAGTTTGGCAAATGGCTCCAAGACCAAAATTAGAAGCAGCCTGTGAAGCGCCAAGTGGGGTGGTGCGCATGGGTCCCTTCTGGACCAGGAGCCCCTCGCCGTTCTGAAGCAGGGCCCGTGAGTTCTTGGTGAGATGGGTCTTGCCTGTTGCTGTCACTGGGTCCCCTGTACCGAAAGTCTGTATGTGTCCCCTGGTGCCACACATGCTGTGTGAAGCTATGTTCTCAGCAGCCACCTGATCAAAACCAGGGAATGTGGACCTGTTCATTGTGGACGCTCCCTGGAACCGAGAATGACCGACAAATGCTCGGGATCTTGTGTGGAAGGCCGCTCACTTTGACACCGGATCTCGGGCTGTCTCCTGACCTCACTCAGAGCAAAGCGCTGCCCAGGAGCCCGAAGGGTTCTCCGCGTCTTGCTCTCCTTAAAGGATGTGAGGCCTGTAGCCTTCGCGGAATTCCTCGAACATAGCGGGTGCCTGAGGGAGGGAACGGGCCAGGCCCAGGGCTGCAATGAGTGCACAGAAGTGGGGCGTTGTCACTCAGGAGAGGGTCTCGTCGTAGTCGTCTTTAGAGAGAACCTGAGGTGGGGGGTGACCCTGCCAGATGGCTCTGGGTGAGAAGTGGCTGGACCATCCAGTCTCCTAGGATGGGAACAGACCAAGCTCGGAGTGAGACTTACAGCTTAGGAGGGGGCTTGTTGGGTTCCAGCCTGCACGACGACCTGCTGCTGAGCCGCCAGGCACAGTGGGGACAGTGACACACTGCATGCTTGTCCTGAGAGCATCCGACCTGTAGTGGGGGGTGGCCCAGTATCACCACAACCCGACTATGTTCAGGCTCCCCGGAGGTGACTCAGCTGGGTGGGTTCCGTGAGGGCCTCGGACATGGGGCTGAAAGCAAGGCAGCACAGGGCGAGGCCAGGCTCTCCTGCGACGATCCAGTTGGGGGGGGGGGCAGCCCAGCTTGCCTGTTACTGGGGTGCTGTCGCATCGCACCTGTGGGTGCGCCACATCACCCGCCATGAGGGGAGGGGGTGCGTGTGGCACTGGGCCTGCCTCAGTGCTGCCCCCAGAGGGACCCTTCCCCTTCCTTTCCAGCTCTCCTCCACCTCTGGGCCGAAGGGACACTGCTTGCTGTCCCCTGGTGTCCCCGGGGTGTCCTCACTGGCACTGTCTCCACCCCCAAGTCCCTGGCCCAGGAACACTGCCAGCCCAGGGCGCTGCTCAGCTCCTGCATCCCCCAGTGGGAGGCCTTGGAAAGCCACCGACCACAGGGTGCCCTGTACACAACCTGGTCTCTGGGATGATGATGTCCTCCACTGAGCTGTGCCCTGTGGGAGGCCGGACGTGATCAGGCAGGGGAGGAGAGGGTCCTGTGCCCCTCCCCCCACCTTACAGTGAACCTGACGCTGCTCAGGAAAACGCATGTCAGGGTTTGGGGGTGCCCTGAGCTGTGGAGGTAGGCGGCTCTGCAGGCAGGCGACGACTGTGCTGCGTGCCCCTGGATGACCAGCTGTGTGCTTCATTTTTGCAGGGTGTGAAGAAGCTCGAAGTGCCCTGCGGAGGAAGAGACTGCAGCGGAGGCTGCCAGTGTTACCCCGAGAAAGGAGGCCGCGTAAGTCCGAGCTCGCGCTCACTGTCCTCCCTCGCACCCTGCTCCCTAGCTGCCGCCTAAGAAACATAACACCTGTGCGTCCCCTGTCACACAAGGAGCACTGAGAGACAGGCGGCCTGTGCACGTTCCTGCCTCCTGCTCACTGTGCTGAACCCGTGCACAGTTGGACCCATATCTGCCAAGGGCTGGCCAGGACCCCCAAGAGCAGCAAGGTCTGCGTCCTGTGCGGGTCACTTGGCGTCCTCCCGGCTACGTCAAACGGTTTTCTCAGGTACTCCTGAGGCCTAGTGCAGTCTGAATGCCACACAGATGGGTGCGGTGCTGCGTCATGTGGGAAACAGGCTGGGGAAGTCTGCACAGGCTCGGGGTGGCGCGGTGCTTTCCTGATGTCTCCGGTCCAGGGTGGATGGAGTCTGCTAGCACGAAACCCACAGATGCAGGGGCCAGCTGTGTGTGTGTGTGTGTGTGTGCGTGCGTGTGTGTGCGTGCGTGTACATGTGTACACAGCTATATGTAAAGTGCAGTGAGGTTTTTACACGTGTATTTTACACAAACAAGCATTTTATAGAAATCTATAAAGGAAAGCGCAGTTGTGCGCGTGCCACAGCCAAGGCGTGCGAGCTAGACAGCACTGACTGGGGCACCTTGACGTTGATTCTGGCAGAATCACGCCCTTGCTGGATGCCGGGGGCAGCCGTGAGTGCGCAGGAAAGCCAGCCTGGCCCGAGGATGAGTTGGGTGTGTTCGGGGCCTGGCTCACATAGCCAGTCAGTCTCCCAGTCAGTCTCCCAGCAGCGGCCTTGCCTTCAGAGGGCCGGGAGAGCGGTGCCAGAGCTGCTGAGGCCCAGGTTTGATCCCTGGCACCACAAAGCACACAGAGCGAGCAGTGTTCACACATCGGCACTACCTCTTTCTATAAGGTAGTGTTTCTGCGTCTCACTTCCGGGGGCCACGTGTCCCTGAGACCCGGGATGGTCTCCACCTTGGTCTGGAGAAGGCCTGGCTATGGGAAGTGTTGCCTGTGTGGCCGTTGGGGTCACAAAGCATGACAGTCTTGGCGTCCCTATGAGTTTCATGCTGTCAGATCCCGACAGTGGATGTTAGAGTGGCTGCGCCCCTTTCATCCCCCTAGGGAGGACATCCGTCTTTGGGAGTATGGCCCTGTGGTCAGGTCCCCCACAGTTATACCACCACTCCTAGTTCGCTTCTTATAATCTAACAGACGGCACGATGACGAGGACCTCCTGGTGAATTTGAGTTTGGTGCCCCCCCCCACATGCGACTGACCAATACCCCAGTGTGGAGGGCACAGCGCCTAGGCCTCGGGGCCACAGGCCCACACTCTGTTCATCAGGAGCTGCAGCTCTCCAGTGAGTGACCCTACGGTTTAGCAGAGGGCTTCTCTGCTTGGCCTGGGAGCCTGTGTTATAGGAATTGCTATGTGAAGGTCATTCTTCAGCCTTTCTCAAGGGGAAATGTTTTCTAAATATCAGAAGCCATTTCCTGAGTCCTACAATTCCCCTTGGTCCCCGCTATAGATTTTCCCAGCGATGACAACTGAGTCGGTGACCAGCGCCTGCTCCCTGAGCACTTGGCTGCCTCGGCCTTATATGGGCAGGAAGTGGATAAATCAGCAGTGTGGTTTCCGCTAGCAGCTTGGGGGCGGAGCTGGAGTCCGGGTTCTCTTCGCTGTCCACACTGGTCAGCCACATGGAGCCCATGTGCCCGAGCAGAGGCACAAGCCCTGATCCTTCTGCTTTCTGTGATCATCCAATGCAGAACACTGTTCACCCTGCCTTGCCCAGAGCCTTGTTCTGGATAAAGACAGCTTGTCTTGGTTATTTAGTAGGCTCGTGGGCACAGGAGTGTGTGCCCATATGGTGCCCAGCATCTTCTCAAGGAGGGCATGGGGGGGTTCTCTATGATTCCTGGACCTCTGTGACTTAGGAAACACACACACAGAGCGTGAGCCCCTCTGTCTCCCAGAGCCCCCCGTGAAGGAGGCACGGGAGTCTGTCTCCCCCGTGGTCACATGAAGGGCAGAAGGTCCACCTCCAGCTGGCTCAATTCACACCCAAGATCCCGAGCGGGTGAGGGCTGGGCTTTGCTGCAGTTCCGAGGCAGCTGGCAGACTCCGGTCACCTGAGGGGCCTGATAGTCATCTCAGAAGCTTGTAGAGGAGACAGGAAGCAATGCCCACTCGCTCCTTGGCTATAGGGACACCTTCCGGACCCACATGGCCCAGTGCACTGCGAGGGAGGCACTGTGTGTGCTGCGTGACGCCTGACGCGGCCACCTAGCCCACTACCCTGGACAGCCAGGGACGCTGCGGCAGCCGGCACAGAGGGCCGTCTAGGTAGCACCAGCGTGTCGCTGTGCGGCAGCCAGTGAACAGGCAGGAAGGGCTAAGGGTGAAAAGAGAGAGCCCTGTGTGGCCGTGTGCTGGGACGACCGTGTGTCCTTAGAGTCCTCTAAGCCTGTGGACGGCAGTGTGTGTGCAATAAACACCAGCCGACAGATCTTCAGGCTTGTCTCCTCACAAAGCCATGTCGGCCCTCTGGTGTGATGGTACTTTTTTTTAAGAAATACACAACATAAAAATAGCAGCCACTGGAGTCCGCGCCCAGAGCCTCCTGCGAGGGTAGCCTGTTTGTTCCCACATCTCCCGGGGCTGCTGGCCGCGGGTCTGCCCCACTGCAGCCGCTGCTAGAGCTGCGATCTAAACGCCTTCCTGCACCCGGGCCTGACTCAGCCTTATATGGACACGGCCCCAGGCCTGCGTCCTCGCCATGGCCACAGACCCAGCAGGGGCTGCTGGGTAATTCCTGGCTTCTGATCGGAGTCTGGAGCTGCCCAGCGAACGGCTGCGTGTGCAGCGTGGGCGGCCCAGTTCTTCTCCTCTCTGCACTGGGCGTTGAGCTGCAGAGCGAGGGGACCAAGGCAGAAGTAGTGGCTGAGCTCACAGCCTTTCCCTTCCTCCCTCCCCATCTGGTACTCACCCCGTTGCTCAAGGTCACACCAAGGTGAAGGGTGCTGCCACCCTGTGTCTCCAAGGTCTCTCATCCAAATGGTGGCAGCAGCCCTGGGGCTTTGCGAAGACTCAGAGCGCTGCAGGGTGAGGCTCTTTCACCGTTCCTCAGCAGTGGAGTCAGGAATAAGAGCACAGGGGACAAGAGATGGGACAGATGTTATGGGAACTTCTGTGCCTCAGAGCAGGGCCACCCTGGCCCCTGGTGGGGAGGAAAGAGGTTCAGAGCAGCACGGACCCCCCAGCAAAGCCTCCTCGGAGGTGGGTGGCCACCTGTGAGCCATGCTGCCAGCGACCACCTCACCCTGCCCCAGTGACACAGGGTAGCTCAGGGAGTGGTGGCCCCCAGAGCTGGAGACACGATCCCAGGCCAAGCAGGTGGACATGTGCAGGTGTGGGGCCCAGTACAGGCCTGTGCCTGTCTGCAGGCTCTGGGATGTGGGCTCAAGTCTGCGCCCCTGAGCTCCTCTGTCCGCAGCAGCAGCAGATCTACGCCTTCCACAGTGCTGCCTGCGCCTCTCCCTCCAGGAAGGGCAGAGACCCCTCGGAAGTAGCAGAGCCCATCTGGCTACTGGGCTGTACACTATCTCTCCCCTAGTTCTAAAACCAGGGGGTTATTTGTCCTGGCTCCTGCTGAGCACCGGGGCTGTGTGGTAATTCAATCATTTTCTGGAGGAGGCAGCTTTGGACAAGGCCACCTCCCTGTACATCATCACCACAGTGGCTTCTGGTCCGTGTCTGCCATCGCAGGATCTGGCTCGCAGTTGCACTCCTTGTGTACCCCTTGTGTCTCCTGCCAGGACCTCGTCCAGAGAGGAGGCCGAGGCAATGAGTGGGGGCATTGCAGCAGCAGAGTGCACTCACTGCGCTTTCTGCATGACTGGGGCCGAAGCAGGGTGACCACAGAAGGGATGGAGACGGACAGGAGAAGGCAGGGCTGTGGGAAGCCTGGGCAAGCCCAGGAGACACCCCTGGGGTGGAGAACAGCTGCTTCGCTGGCTAGAGTCCTTGGGAGGAAGCTGGGTTAGGTCCAGAGTTCTGGTCAGAGATAGTGCCCCCCCCAACCCGCACATGGCCCCCAACAGAGGAAGGAGGTCACATGTAGCCATGCTTGGCCATTAACATTATGTTTAGCCATTCAGTGATTATTTGTTGCACATTTGCTGGGTGCCAAGAGCACAGAGGCGCACAGGACTGCTGCCCTCGCCCTGATTCTTGGGGCTGCCCTGTGCTCTCCAGAGATACTGCCGGCACCACCTACAGGCTGCCTGGCTGGGACAGCGCTCTGAAGCCTTGAAATGTGGCCAGGGAGATGCAGGGTGAGCCCTAGGATTTACTCAAACTGATGAAATTCAAGGGAAATGGGCGCCCAGCCCGCCGGGCACCACATAGACCCTGGGATCTGATGAGGTGGGCAGACGGAGACCCAGGGGAGAGAAACAATGACGGGAAATCCGTGGTCAACAGCAAATCTTAGGTAGGAATGGAACCATGCCAGGATGTGTGGGACCAGGACAATGGAAAACTAGAGAATAGGACCAGGACCTGTGACCCACTGGCTTCTGTCTTTGCAGAAAGATGTTATCTGGAAGGTAAATAGGCCAGAGTGCGGATGTGTCCCTGAGTGTGCAGATGTGTATCCCGGGCCAGCCAGGGGAATTCCTTTCAGGCTCATCACCACACCCTCTGCCCCTCTAGAAAGCCCTTGCCTGTCGGCCTTGGTATAGGTGGTTAGCCACAAGCCTTAGACTCGATGCACTGGTGCTCTCCCTCCAGCAAGGTGTAGTAAGCGTCTTCTCAAAGCAGGACTTTGGCGAACTTGTAGACTCCAGCTGGCCATGCCACTGGGGAAGGGAGAAGCAACCTGTGCTTCCAGCCACTCTGACAAAGACCATGATAACGCTTGTCCAAAGGATGATAGGCCAGCCTGGAGCTCAAGCAAAAGGAAGAGTGCCTTGTTCAAATCCTGAAA